AAACACACCCCTTTAGCACTGTAGCCTGTTAGCTTAGATTCACCTAGCCTCAGTTTGTATTAGCATTACGTTAGAGACACCACGGTAACCACCTGTTTCTTTGAAAGACAAACACACCGTGACGTTTGTCTGTTTAACAGGTTTTTCAGAGACAGCGATGGTTACCACTGACTTGAATGTAGCATTAATGCTAACACAAGACTGGGGCTCACCATGTTTCTGTACACCTCCCTCAGTGAACGTTAGCTTCCATCCCTCTGTCGCTAGCAGCCAGACCAGCATGTTGGTTTGATCGGAAACATTTCACAGGATGCTGTTTGATTCATTTGTTTTTGGGTCCGTGGTGTTTGAGAGAAGCAGGAACAAGGAGGTCCAGCGTCTGACACACCTCCGCATTAAGTTACAAATCAACACACACACAATCGATTCATTATTATCAATGAGCAACTGACAAATTAATGACTGAACATCAAAACTTTCTCACAGTCTACTCCAGTAAAATTTAATTAAATTATTTTTCTTTCAAATTTAACTTCAGATCTGATACTTCTTCCATCACTGAGCAATAATAAAGAATTTTCTCAGCTCATATTCTAAAGAAGTGAATCAGCTTCTTAAACAAATTAATTAAAATACCAAAACCAATTCACACTCCTTAAATCTGGACTGAGCTGCAGAAACCTGTTCTCACCTCCAGCTCGTCACACATGGACGCATGGTCGAGACCTGCTGGCATTATATCGTAACACGCTGGGGGAAACCCTGTAGCGTCATTTATGTACGCTAAAGGTAGGTGTAGGATATTTAAAAGAAAAGTCAGAGTAAGGAGGCTGTTGGGTCGGACCAGAAACCAGACTATCAACCAGGAGACTGGTGTCAGTGTCCTGTGTGAAACAAAAAGTCAACACTGAATGTTTAAGTTACGTACGTTGCCTGAGTTACGCAAGATACATTACTTAACTTATGTAAGTTAACTGATGTACGTAACGTAGTCATTTTAACCCAAACCAGGATCTTTTCCTAAAGCTAACCAAATGGTAACGTTTCACAACATTAACATGTACTTTTATTTTGAAAGTCTAACAGGATGCATATTGGATATTCATTGTTGCTAACTTGAGCCCTAAAGGGTTTTGACCAAGTGATCATATGTGTCGAGTTGGGAGTGAGAATGTGTTGGCTGCAGCAGCTCCTCATGAGTCCTTCAGTCTGAACACAAAGTCCTCCTCAGTTCTCAGTAATGACCAACCTGCTTCCAACTACTGATTCTCTAAATCAGTTTGCACCATTTAAACTTCAGGATCGTCTCAACAGTTTCAGGTCAGAGATGTTGACTGTACAAATGACCTCTTTTACTCTTCACTCTCAGCAGCTCAGGTATTAGCATGCTACCGTTAATCAACCAGTTCCACCTTTGGTTCCACCTGGTGTCTGTAAATATTTATACAACTCATCTCTTCGTATGAACTAGTTAATGAGGCGCCTGTTTTCATTTAACCCCTCGTAGTAACACTGACTGTAGACTCCTGGGCAGCGGCGTGCTCTTCCCCATTGTTAATCCAGCCTTGTGTGCATGGACTGATGACCGACATTGATCTAGTTTCCGTGCTCCCTTAGATGGCCGTACGATGTGGTTAAAAAGCTCTAATGAAACTTCGGATTTAGTTCGGATTCGTTTTGCCCATCAGCTTTTTATGAAATTGTGACTGAACGTTCAGATTCACGAAGTGTGTCAGAGCTAATTGCGGGCTAGTTAGCCAGCTGAAATACTTTAATGAGGTGACATCATCATCATCATCATCATCATCAGCAGCAGCTTTCTGTCAGTAACGGTCTGTGTTAATAAATGTCTGTGGTGTTTCTGCCTGCAGACAGACTGTAAACAGCATCTTTCATATTGAAGCTGATTACTAGAGAACCTTTTGTCTGCTGTGTCTGTGAACCTATTTTGGGAGAACATAGAGAGTCTGGGTTTATACCAAATCATCCAATCACAGCATATTTCCCACACTGACAACTGAAGTTTCTGTGGCTTACATCGAGGTCTGAAAGAGGCTTTCAGTTAATTTAAGCACCCTTAAACACGTCTGTTTCATCGTACAGCGTGTAATGAATGAGCTGAACAAGCCCGTGTGATTTCAAACCTCTGTTTAGGTCATAGAAGACATGACCTTTGACCTTTTCAATGAGAGCAGGAGGTTGTTGGTGGTTTAAGGGGACAGGTAGCTTCAGCGTCTGAAATAAGCTGAAGTGAAAACACAGTCGCTGCCAGCAGTCATTAGTTCATTCGTTCCTTCGATTCTTTTCTTTTTCCTCCCTTTGTTCCTCACTGTCAATCATGCAGACCTGTGTGTGTGTGCGGCATCACTCACCTGTCAGTTTGATGGATGTCTGGAGCTGTTAGACTGCTGTCACACACATCTGTCTGCAGGCATTTTAATGAGCGACCCAGGAAACCTGCTGCGGCTCAAAGTCTGTGTGAGCTCCCTCAACGCACCCAGCAGTTATGATACACAGATACATGTGGATAAAGGCTGTTATCAATATAAGGAAACATTTTTAATGAACAAGGAAATGTTGACTGTCAATTTAAACAACCACAAAAAGAGACAAAACAACGACCACTAAGAGACAAAAAACTACTTAAAAGAGACGCAAAATGACTTCAGAGAGTTGCAAAACAAGAAAGAGTTGACGATAACCATGAAGTGAAAAAATTAAACAACTACAAAGAGACACTAGAAGGATCATAAGCACACAAAACAACTTCAAAGAGACACAAAACAACAAAGAGAGAAATTATTACCACAGAGACACAAAACAACAAAGAGACGCAAAATATTACCACAAAGAGACAGAAAATAACGAAGAGACGCAAAATATTACCACAGACACAAAACAACAAAGAGAAACAAAACAAAGAGACACAAAATATTACCAGAGACACAAACCCACAAAGAGACACAAAATATTACCACAGACACAAAACAACAAAGAGACGCAAAATATTACCACAGAGACACAAAACAACAAAGAGATGCAAAATATTACCACAAAGAGAAACAAAACAACAAAGAGAAACAAAACAAAGAGACACAAAATATTACCACAGAGACACAAAACAACAAAGAGATGCAAAATATTACCACAAAGGCACAAACCAACAAAGAGACACAAATATTACCACAGACACACAAAACAACGAAGAGACGCAAAATATTACCACAAAGAGACACAAAACAACAAAGAGACGCAATATATTACCACAGAGACACAAAACAACAAAGAGACGCAAAATATTACCACAGAGGCACAAATCAACAAATAGACACAAAATATTACTACAGAGACACAAAACAACAAAGAGATGCAAAATATTACCAAAGAGAAACAAAACAACAAAGAGATGCAAAATATTACCACAAAGAGAAACAAAACAACAAAGAGAAACAAAACAAAGAGACACAAAATATTACCACAGACACAAAACAACAAAGAGATGCAAAATATTACCACAAAGAGAAACAAAACAACAAAGAGATGCAAAATATTACCACAAAGAGAAACAAAACAACAAAGAGAAACAAAATATTACCACAAAGAGAAACAAAACAACAAAGAGAAACAAAACAAAGAGACACAAAATATTACCACAGAGACACAAACCAACAAAGAGACACAAAATATTACCACAGAGACACAAACCAACAAAGAGACACAAAATATTACCACAGACACACAAAACAACGAAGAGACGCAAAATATTACCACAAAGAGACACAAAATAACAAAGAGACGCAATATATTACCACAGAGACACAAAACAACAAAGAGACGCAAAATATTACCACAGAGGCACAAATCAACAAATAGACACAAAATATTACTACAGAGACACAAAACAACAAAGAGATGCAAAATATTACCAAAGAGAAACAAAACAACAAAGAGATGCAAAATATTACCACAAAGAGAAACAAAACAACAAAGAGAAACAAAACAAAGAGACACAAAATATTACCACAGACACAAAACAACAAAGAGATGCAAAATATTACCACAAAGAGAAACAAAACAACAAAGAGATGCAAAATATTACCACAAAGAGAAACAAAACAACAAAGAGAAACAAAACAACAAAGAGACACAAAATATTACCACAGAGACACAAAACAACAAACAGACACAAAATATTACCACAGAGACACAAAACAACAAAGAGACGCAATATATTTCTACAAAGAGACGCAATATATTACCACAGAGACACACAACAATGAAGAGACGCAATATATTACCACAGAGAGAAACAAAACAACAAAGAGATGCAAAATATTACCACAGAGGCACAAACCAACAAAGAGACACAAAATATTACCACAGAGACAGAAACCAACAAAGAGACACAAAATATTACCACAGAGACACAAAACAACAAAGAGATACAAAATATTACCACAGAGACACAAAACAACAAAGAGATACAAAATATTACCACAAAGAGAAACAAAACAACAAAGAGATGCAAAATATTACCACAAAGAGAAACAAAACAACAAAGAGATGCAAAATATTACCACAGAGACACAAAACTATTGACTACAAAGATACCAAAACGACTCAGCTGGTGTTTTCTATTCCATCATGGGGCCAGATAGTCCAGCAAAACTAAACCTTTGAACTGCACACAGATAAACGCAGAGGAAAGTGTTGTTTCAGCACAGAACAGTCAGAGTACTTTTACTCTGTTTGGACTCAGTAAGAAAACAACCATCAGTGTGTGTTTAGACGCCTCCGGCTTCTCTCTGAGCCTCCTTCTCATAATTGGACTTAATCATCTACTCTGACCACAAAACTAACGCCTGTGTGTGTGTTCAGGGAGAGAACAGGAAATCAAACACATCCGCTGCATTATTCATGAAGTCATTCACTGAGTTTCATCATTCTGGATCTGTTCTCCTTTCAAACAAACCCTCTGTTTTTTTTTTTTGTCCTTTCAGAGTTTTTTCGAGGGACAGTCAGCTCCGTGGGATTCGGCCAAAAAGGATGAGAACCGCATGAAGAATCGCTACGGAAACATCATCGCCTGTATGTACCCACACATTATTCATAATGTGGATGTAAGGTGTGTTTTAGAGACTGATTTAAACCTGTTTGACTGTGTTTCAGAGGTTCAGCTCAACGACACTGTGGAAGCCTTGTTCTGGTAGAGAGCAGACATGTAGCTCAGTCAGATACTGTAGATACAGATAACATACAGTACTAATATACAATAGATAACACTAATATGTGAGACTGGGAGAACACTTGATGATTTGTGTGCCTCAGATGAGTTTTCATGATGTCCATGATTGAACCATTAACAACTGCCCAAGCCACTACAGGTGTCCCCAGGTTCTCCCCAAATTGTTTGTTATGGGGAGTGCAGTTGTTCTGTTCAGAACACCTTGTGACTGAAACTCCTACTGTGTATAATTAGGACTATTAGGTCTTAACAAGTGCAGAACATGAACTCTAACATTTGAACTGAATTGGGACTTTACTTGTGATTTGTTGGGTTTGTTGGTTAAGTAGGACTTGTTGGTCATGGCTTCGGACTTGACTCAGAACTTGGATCTTGAATTGGGATTTGATTAGAACCTGACTTAGAACATGTCTTGGGACTTGTTGGTCTTGACTTGGGACTTGATTAGAACTTGACTTGTACTTTATCTTGATTTGTCAGTTCCTGGTCCTGACTTAAAACATATCTTGGCATTTGTTGGTCTTGACTTGGTACTTGATTAGAACTTGACTTGATACTTTGTCTTGATTTGTCAGTTCTTGGTCCTGACTTAAAACTTGACTTGGGGTTTGTTGGTTTTAATCATCACTTGTTTGGCCTGACTTAGAACATGTCTTGGGACTTAATTAGAACTTGAATCGGGATTTGTTGGTCTGGACTTAGGACTTGATTAGAACTTGACTTGGAACTTGACTTGGTATTTGTTGGTCTTGACTTAGAACATGTCTTGGGACTTGTTGGTCTGGACATAATACTTGATTAGAACTTGACTCGTCACTGTTTGGTCCTTGCTCAGAACATGTCTTGACATGGGACTTGTTGGTCTTGATCTGGGACATGACCCGTCTCACTGGATGTGACAATAGAGGTGGCAGTCAGGGAATGTGAGGATATAAACAGAGGTCTGGTGCGCCCCCGGCCTGTCACATTTAACCATAGATGTAACCGTCACATGTAGACGGGTGACACGTCTGTAGTGATGCATTTGTAGCCATAAATTAACCAACAACCTAACCACTGGTTCATCAGATGTGATGCCTGTAAATTATATTTTTGAACTTTGAATCATGCAAAACTGCCATACAGGAGTCGCAGAACTACAATAAAGGGCTGGAAATGCAGAGTAGTAGGTCTGTGAGCTTCAGAGCAACAGCAGATACACCTGACGTCCACCCAGGAACATGAATGATGAAACATTTCATTGTGTCGTTCCAACACTTACACTATTACTTACTCACTTACAGACAGTTAAACATGCTGGGCATCACATTCCGCTCCACAGACAGACGCCGTTAGAAGCTCTGCTGTGGGAAACCTGTAGAAATTTGAGAGCGTTTATTGAAACACTTTTTAAAGCCATTGTTAGAGGGTTTGTGCTGTGGGACGTGTTGCTATGACAACTTTGAATAACTAAAACATCCAGATTCGAGCTCAGTGTCAAAGAGCAGAAAGTCTGAAGCTGCCTTCAAACCAGCCGCATCAGAGTGTCTGAACGCGTCAGACAGGAAACACACGGCTGTTTGTGCTGCGGTTCGTTACCGTCGGGCAGATCTGGGGTCAGCTCCTATCATCACACAGCTCCGGGTCTCACAGACACATCATGTAGCTGCTGAAGCTAATGTGCTAACGTCCCAGAAAGTTAGCGTTGACAGCTGCTCAGTTTCAGCTGCTGGCGAACATCCACACACGCAGAGTCTGTCCTGTGGTGGTGTAATTATGCTAATGAGGTGTGATGGAGGATGCTGGGAGCTACGGTGGCCTGCAGGGACTCACTTCATGTTCACACCAGCCAGTAACACTCACACACACACACACACACACCAGTCTCTGTGACCGGTGTGTGTGTGTGTAACAGCGGTGGCAGCCAATGAGCTGCAGGCCTCAGACCTGGTGGGAGGCACTCGTGAAATAACTCGTCTGTTGATTTAACTTCTTTAAGTTTTGTAGATTTGACTTTGAACTGAAACTCTGACAGCTTCAGACGACGGCGCACGAATTCTGGATTCTGATTGGCTGGAATGGAAGGTGTGGCATACACAAGTTCTTACTCCCAAGTCATCACAACTGGACACATGGTCACGATCTCTTGGCGCCAGTTTTTAACGAACTGGGGGAAGCGTCATATTAGTACGCTAAAGGTGTAGGATATTTAACAGAAAGGTGTGAGTAAGGAGGTGGACGGTGGGCCAGAAACCAGACTTTCAGACCCAACTTTGAATCTTTTTATATCTTTGTATAAACACGTACTGAATGCAAACTGAACATTAATAAGCACTTCATAATGTCCTGATGTCTGCGAACGGCTACATGGGTTACTCACAGAAAGAAACACAGCATCAGCCCTGTAATGGCATAATTCAGATTAGAGCTGAAACAATTCATCTATTAAGTAAATTAATAGTTGATTAATCGTCAGAGTCAGGTCAAGGCGCCGCCATTTTGTTTCAGTTTATACTGTGGATCAGTTTCATCTCGTTTCTGATTTTCCATGATCATCGTGCGTTTTGTTGATGAATGCATCAAATGTTGACGCTTGAAATTCACGTTTGCAGGTTGAAGAGTTTCACGATCAGCGTCAGACACAGAACTTTAAAGAGGTTTCATTTGTATTTTATTTCTTGCATTTATTTCTTGTTCTATTAGGATATAAATTATTTTGTTTTCCAGAAGAAGAAATTGTGAAAATGAATAATGTATGCGTACAAAACACAACAGTTCTAACACACACACACAGATTCAGATTTATTTATATCATTTAGTAGAATGAATGTAATGAAGTGGTTATTAATTTATTATTAGATCATTTGTTCAGCAGAAGCTAATTAGAGGTGATTATATTCAGCTTCACCACGACAACAAGCCGGCCAATTAACACTGTGTGTGTGTGCGTGTGTGCGTGCGTGTGTGTGTGTGTGTGCGCGCGTGTGTGTGTGTGTGCGCGCGCGCGTGTGTGTGTGTGTGCGCGTGTGTGTGTCAGACGACCACTCCCGTGTGCGTCTGCAGCCTCAGGACGGAGAGAGCGGCTCTGACTACATCAACGCCAACTACGTGGACGTGAGTAACACACAGTTTACTTCTTTTGTTCCTCTAAAGGTCGACCTGAAACGTCCTGGTGGATTGTGTTTCCATGGCGACGGTGGTCACCAGGCGGTGTTGGTTGCTGTTTACTCTGTAAACACACAGACAGAGGAGATGTCTCTGCTGAGAGCGAGCGCGTGTGTTCCTACCCTTGTGAGGGGAAGTATAAAGTGGGCTTTGGTTGTGAAGGTTCAGGTTCAGGGCCGGAGAAACAAGGACCTCACAGAGCCAGACGCTCCCACACATGGCTCCACAGCAAACTATTTATCATACACATGTTTATACCACGTGTGTGCTCCTTCTCCTTGTGTTCAACTATGCTGTGAAACCATTGGAGGCCCTTGGATCTGGGCCCCCGGCATCGGCCTTCATATTTTGTTAAAGCTTTTTTTCACAGGCTCTTTCTACAACATGGAGGAGAAACTAGTTTTAATGAGTGTATTAGTGTAATATTAAAACATTAGATAAAAAGTCATGTTTACTCATGCATATGTGTTGAAAAAGATTTTATCATAATTGTTTTGAATGTTCTGCCTCTGATTTGTGAAGTGATCCACTGTTTGGCATCAAGTGTTGACCATAAAGACCAGTTTAAACCACAATTAACCATCAGGTTAAGGTCCCTCAGTAGCAGAAATCTGCCTTTAATCTCAAAAGAAATAAAGATTTGAAACTTATCGTGATAATTATCGATATCGACACTCTGCCCACCACTAGCAGCGCGGCGCGGCGGGCAGGGTGGGGGCGATATTGTAGGTTGTATTTACGGTAGTTACTTAATAAATAATTTTTCGCACATATTGATTTAGGGGCATATGGGAGCAAAATGGTCACACTGTAGAGCCCTGCCACAGACTCATGGTGTGAACACAGGATTCAGACTGAAACGTCTAGTTGTTTTAGATCTTTGAAGAACATTTCTCCTCACATCTTTAGCTTTAACATGACCTATTGTTTCTTTTCCTTCCTCTTCGGCTTGTCCTCTCCTCTCTCAGGGCTACCACAGACCCAATCACTACATTGCTACCCAAGGTAAGAACTCAAACACCCTCCACTACAAACAGTACAACCTCCACTGCAGATAGTACACCCTCCACTGCAGACAGTACAACCTCCACTGCAGATAGTACACTCTCCACTGCAGATAGTACAACCTCCACTGCAGACAGTACATGCTCCACTGCAGACAGTACACCCTCCACTGCAGATACTACACACCCCACTGCAGATACTACACACCCCACTACAGACAGTACATGCTCCACTGCAGATAGTACATGCTCCACTGCAGACAGTACAACCTCCACTGCAGATAGTACAACCTCCACTGCAGACAGTACAACCTCCACTTCAGACAGTACAACCTCCACTGCAGATAGTACACCCTCCACTGCAGATAATACACCCTCCACTGCAGACAGTACATGCTCCACTGCAGACAGTACATGTTCCACTGCAGACAGTACACCCTCCACTGCAGACAGTACAACCTCCACTGCAGACAGTACAACCTCCACTGCAGATAGTACACCCTCCACTGCAGACAGTACAACCTCCACTGCAGACAGTACACGCTCCACTTCAGACAGTACACCCTCCACTGCAGATTGTGAACCCTCCACTGCAGATAGTACACAATCCACTGCAGATAGTACACGCTCTGCTGCAGATACGACGCCCTCCGCTGCAGATAGTACACCCTCCACTACAGATACTACACGCTCCACTGCAGATAGTACACACCCCACTGCAGATACTACACACCCCACTACAGACAGTACATGCTCCACTGCAGACAGTACAACCTCCACTGCAGATAGTACACCCTCCACTGCAGACAGTACACCCTCCACTGCAGATTGTGAACCCTCCACTGCAGATAGTACACACTCCACTACAGACAGTACACAATCCACTGCAGATAGTACACGCTCTGCTGCAGATACGACGCCCTCCGCTGCAGATAGTACACCCTCCACTACAGATACTACACGCTCCACTGCAGATAGTACACACCCCACTGCAGATACTACACACCCCACTACAGACAGTACATGCTCCACTGCAGACAGTACAACCTCCACTGCAGATAGTACACCCTCCACTGCAAATTGTGAACCCTCCACTGCAGATAGTACACACTCCACTACAGACAGTACACAATCCACTGCAGATAGTACACGCTCTGCTGCAGATACGACACCCTCCACTGCAGATAGTACGCCCTCCACTACGGATACTACACGCTCCACTGCAGATACTACACACCCCACTGCAGGTAGTACACGCTCCACTGCAGGTAGTACACCCTCCACTGCAGATAGTACAACCTCCACTGCAGATAGTACACCCTCCACGGCAGATAGTACAACCTCCACTGCAGATAGTACACCCTCCACGGCAGATAGTACACGCTCCACTGCAGATAATACAACCTCCACTGCAGATAGTACACGCTCCACTGCAGATATTTATATTATACTTTTTTATCCTACCTTTTTTTAAAATCTTGTTTGAGTGAATAAAACAATTGCGGTTGGTTTAGATGATCTCAAGTGACTATTCCCTCTGACATCAGTGGTCTGCATGTTTTCACGCCACCTTTTTGTATCGGCTCAACTCGTCTGTAGTGATACCAAATAAAGTACCAGGTACTATCCACAATGGAAAGCCGAGATCTGAAGAATTAATACTGTTTTACTTTTTCATAAGTGAAGTTTTAAATGTAACTTTCAGATATGTGCAGACACTCTGATACCACACAAACACACACACTCAGCTCTCCGGGTAGAAATGTACTTTTCTGAATAAACTGTTGTGTTTTTGCAACCACATCTATCAGCATGAATATGGAGTGTGTGTGTGTGCGTGCAGGCAGGCAGCAGCTTCTTGCTGTAAAACACTTGAGGACAGGAATGGATTAGCATGAACTAATTAGCTCGTCAAAACACAGACTGTCAACAGTGATTAAAAATATTTTTTGTGTGTGTGTTTTTTTGTGTGTGTGTGTGTACGTGTGCTTAATTTGAATTAATTAAAAGAGTCATTATAATTCATGTACAGCTCTGGTGTCGCCTGCTGATCTGCTGTCTAATATGAAGTTTACTGTGTGTGTGTGTGTGTGTGTGTGATTTTCAGGTCCCATGCAGGAGACTGTTTACGATTTCTGGCGGATGATTTGGCAGGAGAACACTGCCGCAATCGTCATGGTAACCAACCTGGTGGAGGTGGGGCGGGTGAGTCTACGCGTGTGCACACACACACACAGACTGATTGTTGTGGCCATCTGGTTGTTTTTCCTTGTTGATGAAGTTTGGGACTCCATTTCCCAGAGTGCATCTGTCACGTCTCTACTTACCCTTTGTTTATTTTCTATTGTTGAAAAGTTCACTGCCTCAGTTTATTGTGTAAGAAGTGCATTTTACCTCTGGAAGCAATGAGAGCGTAGTTCACAAACTCAAATACAAACGTAACCACAAACAAAGAAGAGCGCATGTCACAGGGTTGTGTTTACAAATGTAACCACAAGTAGAGAAGGTCACAGATGTGTAAGGTTTGTGTCACCGAGAGCAAATAACACAAATACAAATACGTATTTAACTGCAACTAAAGCGGAGCGTATACATAGACTGTGAGGAAGTGGGCCTAGCCGCTTTGACGTCACCCGTTGGTTTGCGGACTGCCAATTTGAAACCTCCAGTTTGGCATTTTTGCCGTCGTCATCTTGTTGTTTTGCAACCAGGCACCAGACGTGACCATATTTGGAAGAGAGGGTGGAGCTAGCTAGCTTGGTTAGCAAGGTGCATCTGTAATTCACATTAACTGTAATATTAGCTGGGATGCTAATTTTGGCTAGCACGCTTAAAACAAGACGTACTTACTGAAAATGAGCAGCCGACTAAGATAAGCTTTTTCAGCTGCGCTGGTTAAATGTACACAGAGCAGCGGATACGAGTCGCCTCTATCCCGATTGACAGGTCGCCATTGGTAGCGACTTGTCGATCAGCTTGTAGCCCCGCCCTAAAGCCTCCCCTGCTTCCTGGTCTCTGTTCCTCTAAATGGGACCATAATTTACTAAATAAACATCATGCTGTGTTGAAGAAGACTTGAAACTAGCGACTGAGACCATAAACTCATCAAGAAAGTGTTTACTGAGGGAATAAATCAGCTGACAAGTAGAAACATTTTCTCACAGACTTCGATGCAATCACACTTCTTTCTGCGGCCGGTGGAGTCGCCCCCTGCTGGCTGCTAAAAAGAACGCAGGTTTAAGGTGCTTCAGTCGTGAGAGCCGGAGGTTGCCGCTTACGAGACGTATAAATTGCAAATGAAAAGGCCGCTTTATTTTCATATTTAACCTCAACTCTACGACAGCCTGTGTCACTAATCTGCATAAATATCAATGTATGTATGTATCAATGTGCATATTTAATGAAAATATACCTAATTTGCATATTAAATATGAAAAAACAGAATGTTTTATTTATGTTTCCATTCAGCTTGTGAAGGTTCAGTGTGATATGAGTAAAGTAAAAAAAAAGCCTATTTGGCTGGTGTCTCACCTTAAAATATAGATGCCATTCTTGGTCCCCAGTGGATGAAGTGTTAAAATATAAATGCCATTCCTAGTCCCCAGTGGATGAACTCTTAAAATATGGGAACCATTCCTGGTCCCCAGTGGATGAAGTGTTAAAATATAGATGCCATTCCTGGTCTCCAGTGGATGAAGTGTTAAAATATAGATGCCATTCCTGGTCTCCAGTGGATGAAGTGTTAAAATATAGATGCCATTCTTGGTCCCCAGTGGATGAACTCTTAAACTATAGATCCCATTCCTGGTCCCCAGAGGATGAAGTCTTAAAATATGGATGCCATTCTTAGTCCCCAGTGGATGAAGTGTTAAAATATAGATGCCATTCTTGGTCCCCAGTGGATGAACTCTTAAAATATGGATACCATTCCTGTTCCCCAGTGGATGAAGTCTTAAAATATAGATGCTATTCCTGGTCTCCAGTGGATGAAGTGTTAAAATATAGATGCCATTCTTGGTCCCAGTGGATGACGTGTTAAAATATAGATCCCATTCATGGTCCCCAGAGGATGAACTCTTAAAATATGGATACCATTCCTGTTCCCCAGGGGATGAAGTGTTAAAATATAGATGCTATTCCTGGTCCCCAGAGGATGAACTCTTAAAATATGGATACCATTCCTGTTCCCCAGTGGATGAAGTGTTAAAATATAGATGCTATTCCTGGTCTCCAGTGGATGAAGACTTAAAATATAGATGCCATTCTTGGTCCCCAGTGGATGAAGTCTTAAAATATAGATGCCATTCCTGGTCCCTAGTGGATGAAGTCTTAAAATTTAGATGCCATTCTTGGTCCCCAGTGGATGAAGTGTTAAAATACAGATGCCATTCCTAGTCCCCAGTGGATGAAGTTTTAAAATACAGATGCCATTCCTGGTCCCCAGTGGATGAAGTCAGAATCAGAATCAGTTTTATTGCCAGGTATGTGTACACATACGAGGAATTTGACTCAGGATTGTACATTGCTCACGATGTGCTTACTTATACAATAATAAAATAATAATAAATAATAAAATAAAATCAGACACAAACTACAGAGTAGACAACACTAATATACACACTATGAACAAAACAATATAGACATTTTGACAATTATCTTAAAATAGATGGCATTCTTGGTCCCCAGTGGATGAAGTCAGAATCAGAATCAGATTTATTGCCAGGTATGTGTACATACGAGTAATTTGACTCAGGATTGTACATGCTCACGATGTGCTTACTTATCCAATAATAAATAATAATAATAATAAAATAAAATCAGACACAAACTACAGAGTAGACAACACTAATATACACACTATGAACAAAACAATATAGACATTTTGACAATTGTCTTAAAATATAGATGCCATTCTTGGTCCCCAGTGGATGAACTCTTAAAATATAGATGCTATTCTTGGTCCCCAATGGGTGAAGTCTTGAAAAATAGATCCCATTCCTTTTCCCCAGTGGATGAAGTCTTAAAATATAGATGCCATTCCTGGTCCCCAGTGGATGAAGTCTTGAAATATAGATGCCATTCCTGGTTCCCTAGTGGATGAAGTCTTGAAATATAGATGCCATTCCTGGTTCCCTAGTGGATGAAGTCTTAAAATATAGATCCCATTCCTGGTCCCCAGTGGATGAAGTCTTGAAATATAGATGCCATTCCTGTTCCCCAGTGGATGAAGTGTTAAAATATAGATCCAATTCCTGTTCCCCAGTGGATGAATTGCTAAAATATAGATCCCATTCCTGTTCCCCAGTGGATGAAGGGTTAAAATATTTAGCCCATTCCTATTCCCCAGTGGATGAAGGGTTAAAATATTTATCCCATTCCTGTTCCCCAGTGGATGAAGTGTTAAAATATAGATCCCATTCCTGTTCCCCAGTGGATGAAGTGTTAAAATATAGATCCCATTCCTGTTCCCCAGTGGATGAAGTGTTAAAATATAGATCCCATTCCTGGTCCCCAGTGGATGAACTCTTTGAATGTAAATGTCTTTCTTGATGAGCACTACAGCCAGATGGGAGGACAGTAAACTGGAGCATCTGGAGCTCCGGCAGCTGAGCACTAAAGCCGAGTTGAAACCTCACGACACGAAGACAACACACACTTTCCTTCTGAAATTGAAGGATTTAACCTGAGACACACACACACACACACACACACACACCTGCAGGCGGGCTCCCTGTCCCAGCTCTCATTACCCAGAAGGCACCAGGGATCTGTTCCCCCTCTACAGGAGAGCCGCAGAGGGGGATTCTGGGATAGATCAGGCTGATTATCTCCCTCTGTCTTTCTCTGTCACACACACACACGTTCACTTTGTTGGTTGCCGTGGCGACAGTGCGATTAGCTCAGCAGTAATTAGCTGTTAATGGGGGGGGGGGGGGTTCTCTAATTAGATTTTAATATCAGCTTTTTTTGTTCTGTTTATGTTTCTGTTTAATTAACGAGTCATTTATTTCTGCCTGCATCCAATGTTAATGAATAAACAAGATTCCTGTGTGTGTGTGTGTGTGTGTGTGTGTGTGTGTGTGTGTGTGTGTGTGCGCGCGTCCAGGTGAAGTGCTGTAAGTACTGGCCTGACGACACGGAGATCTACGGTGACATGAAGGTGACGCTGATCGAGACTCAGCTGCTGTCAGAGTACGTGATCCGGACCTTCGCTGTGGAGAAGGTAGAACACACACACTGTAACACACACACACATTATAACGGGCGGCTACCACCTGCTGCTATCCTCCTTCTCAACCAGCATCAGTGCTGACAAATCTGCGTTCTATAATAACAGAATTAGCGGTGCCACTGACTCAAGGAAATTATTTTCCACTTAAATCTCTTCTAAACCTCCCCTCCACCACCCACAAACCTGTCCGCTGATACCTTTGCTGCCTCCTTCACAGGCAAGGTGGCGGCTACATCCAGCCAATTCTCTAAATCTCTCACAATCAACCATTCTGTTCTCACTCCGGTCAGCTCCCACTCTGTGAACTCGGCACAGGAAAACCTAACATGTAGCAGTCCTGCTACATCGTTTCCTCTGCCCTCCCAGGTCAGTGGTTGTTCACTCTCCTCGTTTACTCCTCTCACGGAGAACAAAGTATCAGAACTCTTGACCCGTAGCCGTCCATCTACATGCCCACTGGACCCGATTCCTACGAATCTCCTCCAAGCCATATGTCCTACCGTGGTACCGACAATCACTCGTGATAAATACTTCTCTGGCTTCAGGAACCTTCCCGACCACTTTCAAAAGGGCTCGGGTTACACCCTTGCTCAAAAGCCCTCACTTGACCCAACTCAAGTTGAGAACTTTGACCAGTGTCTCTTCTACCTTTTTTATCCAAAACTATTGAACGGGCAGTATTCAAACAGGTCTCAGAATTCCTCTCAGGGAATGACCTCCTAGATCCATATCAGTCTGGTTTTAAGAGTGCCCACTCTACTGAAACGGCTCTTCTGTCTGTAACAGAAGCCCTAAGGTCAGCTAAAGCTGCAGCCCAGTCCTCGGTTCTGATCCTGCTTGACCTATCAGCTGCCTTTGACACAGTCAGCCACAGGATCCTGCTATCCGCTCTCTCAGCAATGGGCATCTCGAGTAAAGCACTCCTGTGGTTCGAATCCTACCTCTCTGGGCGTTCCTACAATGTTTTGTGGCAAAGACAATTATCCTCCTCCCACTGCCTCTCCACAGGGGGGCCCCAAGGCTCAGTGCTTGGGCCCCTTCTCTTTTTAATCTACACCACCTCACTGGGGCCGATCATTCGCTTACCACTGCTACGCAGACGACACGGAACTCTACCTATCCTTCCCGCCAGGCGATCCCACTGTCTCGGCGTGGATCACGGACTGTCTATCAGACATATCTGCATGGATGAAGTCTCGCCACCTTCAACTAAACCTCTCTAAGACTGAACTCTTGGTCATTCCAGCCAAACAATCTATCCACCATAACATCAAACTACAAATTGACTCCTCAACCATCACTCCAACCAAGGTGGTGAGAAACTTGGGTGTCATGATTGATGACCAGCTGTCCTTTTCAGACCATGTTGCTACTGTCTCTCGGTCATGCCGCTTTGCACTGCACAACATAAGGAAAATCAGGCCCTACCTCACTCAGTACGCCACCCAGCTTCTGGTACAGGCCATGGTTATCTCTCTGCCCTCCCAGCAGGTCTTCCAGCTTGTGTGGTGAAACCCCTACAAATGGTTCAGAACGCAGCAGTGTGTCTGTTTTTTGATCAGGACAAAAGGACTCTTGTCCCTCCATTACTGTGTGACCTGTGTGTGAATCAGATTCAAGTCCCCAATGCTGCCTCCAGACTCCTGGGTCTGCACCATCTACCTAAACTCCATAATCCAAGGCTACGTTCCTTCTGGGCCACTACGCTCCTCCAACGAACGCCGCCTGGCTCTGCTATCCCTTCACACAAAGCTGTCCCAGTCCCTGTCAGTTGTAGATCTCGTGCTGTATTTGATGCTGTATTGATGATTTTAAGTTGTTCCTCACATGTAAGTCGCTTTGGATAAAATTAGTAAATGTAAATGTACTTGAAATGTATTTTACACTTTCTGTTGCAGAGGGGCGTGGCAGAGATCAGGGAGATCCGTCAGTTTCATTTCACCGGATGGCCCGATCACGGTGTGCCGCTTCACGCCACCGGCCTGCTGGGCTTCATCCGCCGAGTCAAGGCCAAAACCCCGCCCACTGCCGGCCCCACCGTGGTGCACTGCAGGTACACACATTTAAATATGAGTCACTAATATACCCCACATTACTGCTTCATAAAGTGGTGTTTGTTTTGAGCATGCAGCTTTAATATAAAACTGTGTGGGTGTGTGTCAGTGCGGGGGCGGGGCGTACAGGTTGTTTCATAGTGATCGACATCATGCTGGACATGGCGGAGAGAGAGGGCGTGGTCGACATCTACAACTGCGTCCGAGAGCTGAGAGCACGAAGGGTTAACATGGTCCAGACTGAGGTACTCACACACAACATATACACAAAGACACAC